AACTTTTATCATCGACAAGATTATTATTACATTGAAGTTAAAATTAACAAAACAAAACATTCGAACTAGTTTATATCATGTCTAAATATTATTGCAGCTTGTGATAAACTTTGTTTATCTAGTTTACAATGGTACATTCAATCCTACGTAGTAATTACATATAGCTTCGGGACCATTTGTATTCATTCTGCTCTTTCCAATTCAAGAATCATTTTCACATGTTTTAAATATGTTCCAAAAAAATCGATAAAAGTACGAACATATAGGCTAAAAAATATAGTTTAATATAACAAATGATAGGAATTGTGAACACGGTAAACGCCGAGAGACGTCTAACGTTATGACTTTGTATTTCAAAGGGTATAAAAACACAGTATACATGATTTTTTTCACAAACTTTGGATCATAAGTTAAACCTTCAAAATATATATAATGAATATATAAACAGAAAAATACATATAGTGTATATAATGAATTTTTTTCATTTAAAGGAAATCGTTCGGTCGTTGATAGAAGATGAAGAGCACAATCCCACAAGAAGCAAAGAACCTTTGACAATGGCGGCCTGTGCTCTCTCTCTTCTGTCAACGAATTTCCCTAGCCAATAAACGTACCCGAGTTCTTCTGCAGCTTTCATTTATTATCCACCTATTGGCTATATATATTTGCCAAAATATTAGAAAAATAGAAGAATAATTAACAAAAAATTAATAAAATTAGGTAAGCTGCATGTCGAAAATGCAACATGCAGATTCATGAAGGCTACTAGTACTGGAAATGAAGAATCGAACGGAGATTGTAGGCTATCGTTATTTTCTATCCTTTTTTCTGATGATATATATATATATATATATATATATATATATATATATATATATACATGGAAGAATGAGTTACAAAAAAGGGTGCAAGGAATACAATCCATATATAACTGGACTCGAAATTAAAAACAACTAGTTTCACAGAAATTATAATAATGTTGATTTGCATATGTAATTTCATCTTATTTCTATTCAGTGGCATGTGTAT